GCTGTAAATATTCTACAGATAAATGACTTTGCCCATGATCTCTGAGTTGAATAAATAGGATTACTCAAATATTTGTTAGCACTTGGATACTTTTCTAGTAAAGATTGAAATTGTCGCTCAAAGACTTCAATACTTAAAGAATTCTGTGCTTTCCAAAAGTCACAGACAAATTCTTTAAAATTTGTACTTCCAAGTTTGGCCTTAAGCTATTTAGGCAAATTTTGAGACATATACCAAATACAATGAACTTGATAGGAATTTTTATTTATTACTTGGCATGCTGCATCCATTGCAGGATCTATATCGGTTATTATAACCTGTAGTTCAAAATTAGTCACATCTAAGGTTTGTTGTAAAACCCATTCATAACTTTCCTGAGTTTCATCACTTAAAAATGCCTGTGCTCCTAATCGTGATTTTTCATCATTATCAATAAGAATAAACAAAGATAGAGGAAAGTTGAATTTATTTGTTCTTGAAGTGTTGTCATGTAAAACGACATCAGAATAACGAGACTATAGCATAATTTGATTTGCTGTCATCCAAAAAATACCACACAGCCGATTACTATCAGCATTTATTAATGGCTGAACAAACATCGTAGGATTCTCTTTTTGCTATTCAAGTAGTAACTTTAATAAGTGGGATGCATCAGAACCAACAACCTTTTTTTTATGCTTTATTTTTTGAATTGCATTTGATAGGTCTTGTGTGAGAAAAAGGTAATCAGAAAATAAAGGCCATAATAAATTTCTTATTGTATAAGCATCACAATGACCATATATAACTATACGTTCAATTTTATCTATTATAGACTCATCAAATTTTCGAAATGCTGTAGCAAATCTTATATTAACTGCATTGAGAATATAGTTATGCTCAAGATCCACAAGAGTTATATGCACGAAGTTGCTGGCTTCTGAATTACTCAAATTAACATGCCATTTACAATCTGTTTTTTTTGATCCTTTATTGCGCTGCTGTTCTAATGGCTTTGTTTTGTTAGGTTTATACTTGCCAGCTTTCTCACATACATATGTTCTTTTTTTAACACGATCATTTAATGCAGTTAAATAAGACTTATGATGTTCACTCTATACCGATTCACTACAAAACCTTTTTGTCATCCATACTCCTTTACATAATGTTCTGCAATTGCCCATGAATTAAATCGTGCTCCAACTAATAGCTCTATAGGTTAATTTATATGATGTTTAGTAAGATCTAGACCTTCAAATTCCAATCCAAGAACAGGTGTATTAGTTTTGGCATTGCTTTCAAAACTTATAGAGCCTTAAAATGAAAAAAGCTAAGTATTCACATTGACTGAATTATAATATTCGACTAATTAAACTAACCTTGATCAATTTCTATATCATCACTTTTCTGAGTTTCGTCTTCAATATGTTCGCTTTGAACAAATTCAGTTGCTTTTCCTTTAACAAAGTCAACTTCCACATGTTCAACTTCATTAAATTTATCTTTTATTAGTTCGAATATTTCACCTTCTAAACACTTGTCTTGTGTATAAGCTTATATTGTGGCGTAGATTGTATGTTTAACTTCTCTACAGTTTGTTTGCAAAAAATGAGTAAGACATTTATACAACCTTCACAAAATAAACACACAACCTTATTTACTTACGGATATAAAAGTTTTCTTATGTACGAAGATCCTTGTTTACTTTCGTTTACTTTCTATACAAGTATATATACGTATGTTTGTAAGGAGTATTTTGACGAAAAAGAAAAAAAAATAGCAATTGTCTCTCTTTTATTTTTGTTTACATTATGCATGATTAAACTCCGCTATCATTGTTAATTCTTAATTTCCGATCTGTATTACAATGTGATAATATCACACCTGCAGTATATAAATTTATCCTTCTTTAATTTATTTAAAAAAATAAATATAAAAATATAATTTTAAATATTTAATGCTTTTTTTACAAAAATTATAAAGCTATATATCAAGTTGTTTTAAAAGAATCTTAAGCTAAAGTTGTTCAATTCTTCTCTATATTCTTTAAGTCAAATGACTGACTTATTTAAAGTAATAATATAATTGGCTAAAGCAATCTTTTAAAAATTAAAAAAAGTTCTACTAAGTAAAGATCTCTTCTAGTTTTAGAAAACTTGTAGAGGAGGTTTTTAGAATCCCAATAGTAGTTAAAACATCCAAATCAGCTTGGTGAATCCCAAGATACTTGGAGTTAAAGACGTGAATATAGGGATCTGCAAAGTCACTATTATATAAAGGATAATCATCTAATATAGTCAGGGGATATACCAAATTAGTAAACCAGCATTTTAAAATAATTTACAAGTGAATTTTTAAATTTGATTGGCTTTTACGAGCTTACAAAGTCATATATTAACAAAAAAAAAATTTATAATAATTTACTACTAATCAATATATATATATTTTTTTTTATTAATATAATATCATAGTAGAAACTTTATTACAATAAACCTATATTAATCTAAAGATTAATGGTCCTTCTGTTACTAAAAAGGCTTGGGTAAGGAGGCAGATAAGTCATCTAACCAGGCTGCTAAATTCTTTCAACTCAGTACTAGCTAATAAAAAGAAAATATGGTTTTAGAAAAAATTTTCTATAGTAAAGATTTCTAACTATATTTGTGCTACAGAGTATTCAATATGATCTTACACCTCCTATTCCCTATTTAATACTATTATTAATTTAAATAAATAAAGTAATTTTAGCTAGGATAGGTTGGAAAAAACCTTAAAGTATTAATCATGACATTATAAGAAGTATGTTGTTAGGGAAAAGCCTAGTAAGTACCATTTTTTAATAGCATTGCATAGATTTATTGGTTGTAAAAGAGGTCTATAGAGAGTTGTTTGGTTAGTGAGTAGAGGTGTAGAGAATTTAATATGCTTGGTTTTAGGTATAATATTTTGGGCTATTTCCTATTGGTATTGAAAAGAGTTACATTTGGACCATATATCATGGTAGAACCAGTATAGAAGATTATTAGAGAGATTAATGAGTATTGGTTTTGTTTGTTTTTTAATTAGGATTTTAGTATTTTGATATATTGTTTTGAATATATTCCAAGAATTGTAGAAATAAAAGAGTTGTATTGTGTATTAGAAGAGTTGTTTGTTGGTAGTAAAAGAGCATTAAGAAGTGTAATAGGTTGGATAGATGTAATTTGAAGTTG